TATAATTTTATTCCTGTAGTTTACTTATTGCGAGAATTAACTATCACATAATTTAGTTTTAATTATTTTATATGCAATATTCACCCATATGACATTTGAATTTTTTAAGATGAATATGTAAAATTTCAAATTAAAACACTCAAAACTAAGAGGGAACCCCTAAAAATAAAATACAAAATAACAAATATATATATAACATAATAGGCTGAAAAATTTGTAATTTTATATAAAATAACAAAAATAAATAAATAAATAAACCAAGAAATATTAATATGTCGTAAAAAACCTAAAATAATAATACAATAATAATAAAGTCAAATTACAAAGAATGCAGCTACGACTTATAGTTTGTTTTAATTTTATAAATTTTCTAATTTAAACGTAAAATTAAAAAAATATTAACTTAAACTAAATGGGTTTGATACATATACATACATATATATATATATAAATTTATGTAAGTTAACCTTCTATGAATAATTGAATAATGTATGTGGTAGTATTTTGTAAATGTGGTAGTATGCTAATAATTATTAGTAAAAAAAACTAATAATTCATTAAGTATTTAACCATGAAATTTTTTTTTTTAAAATGAAAAAACATTGTGAGAAATTGTGATTTTCCTTAATCAATTATTATAATAAATAAATTGTTGTCAAAATTTCCACTGATTTTGAAAAAATAATGTCGAAGAATATTTTTAGGGTAATTATATTACTATACTTTTTCAAACATTGAGTTGTTACTTACAAAATGGTTAACAAAAATGAACAAGGAAGAAAGAAAAAAGAAAAAAGAAAAAAAACCTTTGTTCCTTTATCTTACCAGTGCCCCACAGAATCAATTTGATCTTGTTGCTGCAACTGTTTTTGAATTGAAGTAGGAGAGAAAGGCAATGAAAATGGCTGATCTGCAGTCACAAAACTTGGTTGAGACATCAAAGTTGTTGAAGAATATAAGCTATTATAAGGCAAATTGTGTTCTTGCTCGTGTTGCGTTTGTTGCTGTTGTTGTTGTTGTCTTTGATCCGATCTTTGTTGTTTAGGAATATTAAGCTTCTCTCCTTCGATATCTCGGTACTTGCTTAAATACAATTTCAATGGAGCTACATAATCTTCGAAACCAAGAGTTGTGATTGCCCATATGACATCGTCACCATTGATAGTCTTTCGTTTTTCTCTTTGACATTTATCGGATGCTTCTCCGGTAACGAAGCTAATGAACTCGGAGACACATTCTTGAACTGTTTCTTTGGCGTCTTTGGATATTTTTCCATTGGCGGGAATCACTTTCTTCATGATCCTTCCAACATTTGCTATGGGGAGAAACCGATCTTGTTCCTTGTTGTTTGTAGAGTGATTGTTGGTGGTTTTTAAACAAGGGCTTTCTGGACTAGCTTCTCTAAGAAAATTTCCATGGCTAATTTCATCTTCCATCAGATTATTTTTTCTTGGTTTTTGTTTGTGCGTGTGATTGTCCGAGATTTAACATTTTATTTTTAAGGGCTGAAGTAAATGGAAAGAAAAGCATAAAAATAGGCAAGTGAAGTGGGAACCTAAATTGGCATTCCTACCAAATTAGTCCATGCGACTCGCTCTCTCTGTGGAGCAGTTTACTAAACTGTCAAGACCTAATCCTACTTCTCTTCAGGACAAACAAATATAACTACTTTTTATTTTCTGACTTAAAATTTGAATCAACTTGACTTGTCAATTAGCTCATGAAACGTTATTAAATAAATAAAACTAGAGTTGCACAAACTATATTATCTCTTGCAATGTTTCACATCAATTAGAT